CGTAGACGGTGTACAGGGTTCTGAACGATTCCTTATTAAGATGCAGGAATACTGTTCTGAGGTTTGCTAGGCGCCCATATGCTGTAGCAGTTATTTGGGTGATGTGCGTTTCAGGAGATGTGCCTGGTGTTATACTCACCCCATGATCTTTTTCCTTGAGCGAGGCTTGTAGTCTCTGGCCCCCTAGACTGTACTTCCGGGCTGCGTCTTCTTTGCCCTTCCCCCCAAACTTCATGGCTTTGCACTTTGTGGGGTTGAACTCCAGGAACCAATTGCTGGACCAGGTCTGCAGCCTGTCCAGATCCTTTTGTAGTTCTGCCTGGTCTTCAGTCGAATGAATTCTTCTCATCAGCTTCACGTCATCTGCAAACAGGGACACTTCGGAGTCTATTCTTTCCGTCATGTCGTTCACAAATACCAGAAACCCGCACTGGTCCTAGGACTGACCCCTGGTAGGACCCCCGCTGGTCACAGGTACCCACTCTGACACCTCGCCACGTACCATGACCTCGCTGCTGTCTTCCTGACAAGTATTCCATGATCCATTGTATGCCTTCCCTGTCATCCCTGCTTGGTCCTCCAGTTTTTGCACTAATCTCTTGTGTGGAACTGTGTCAAACGCCTTCTTTCAGTCCAAGAAAATGCAATCCACCCCCAACCCTCTCTCTCTTGTCTTACCTGCTGTCACCATGTCATAGAACTCCAGTAGGTTGTGACACAGGATTTCCCGTCCCTGAAACCATGTTGGCTGCTGTTGATGAGATCATTCCATTCTAAAGGGGTTCCATAACTCTTCTCTTTATAATCTTCTTTCCCTGACTTTGCATACTATACATGTCAGTGACACTGGTCTGTAGTTTAGTACTTCATGTCTGTCTCCTTTTTTAAAGATTGGGACTACATTTGCTGTCTTCCATGCCTCAGGCAATCTCCCTGTTTCGATAGATGTATTGAATATTGTTGTTAGAGGTACACATAGCGCCTCTGCTCCCTCTCTCAGGACCCATGGAGAGATGTTATCTGGCCCCATTGTCTTTGAGGTATCTAGCTCACTCAGAAGCCTTTTCATTTCTTCCTCAGTTGTGTGTACTGTGTCCAGGACTTGGTGGTGTGCCCCACCTCTCCGTCTTTCTGGAGCCCCTTCTGTCTCCTCTGTGAACACTTCTTTGAATCTCTTGTTGAGTCCTCACATACTTCACTCTCATTTTTTGTTGTCTCTCCTCCTTCTTTCCTTAGCCTGATTTCCTGGTCCTTGACTGATGTTTTCCTGATGTGGCTGTATAACAGCTTCGGGTCAGATTTGGCTTTCGCTGCTGTGTCGTTTTCACATTGTCGTCGGGTCTCCCTTCTTATCTGTGCATATTCATTTTTGACTCTACGACTGCTCTCCTTATTTTCCTGGGTCCTTTTCCTTCTTTTATTTCTTCCATTCCCTAGCACACTTGGTTTTTTGCCTCCCTGCAAAACCTTTGGGTGAACCATGGCTCATCCTGGCTTTTTCATTATTCTGTTACCCTTGGCTACAAACCTCTCCTCTGCCTCCTTGCACATTGTTGCTACAATTCCATCATCTCATTAACTGGTTTCCCTGCCATTCTCTGTCCCATTGAACCCCGTTCAGGAAGTTCCTCATTCCCCCTGTATCCCCTTTCCTGTAGTTGGCTTCATTCGTCCTGGCCTTCCTGCTTCCCCCTCCACTTTTAGCTCTACTGTGTTTTCGAAGCTTAAAACCACATGATCACTGGCCCCAAGGGGTCCCTTTTATATGTGATGTCCCCAATATCTGCACTACCCCAAGGTGAATACTAGGTCCAGTCTTGCTGGTTCATCCTCTCCTCTCTCTCTTGTAGTGGCCCCTACGTGTTGGTACATGAAGTTTTCCAATACCACCTCCATCAACTTAGCCCTCTATGTATCTTGGCCCCCATGTGACTCCAAGTTCTCCCAATCGATCTCCTTGTGGATAAAGTCACCCATGATCAGGAGCTTTGCCCTGCATGCATGAGCTCTTTTGGCCACTGCAGCCAGTGTGTCAACCATCGCTCTATTGCTCTCATCATACTCTTGCCTTGGCCTCCTGCTGTTCTGTGGTGGGTTATACATCACTGCAATTACCACCTTGGGACTTCCAGAGTGAAGCGTTCCCGCTATGTAATCACTTGTTTCTCTGCTGCATCCTCTCTCTAGCTCCTCAAAATTCCATCGGTTTTTGATCAGCAGTGTCACTCCTCCACCCCCCCTGTTCCCTCTGTCTTTCATCAGGATCTGGTATGCCGTTGGAAAGATGGCATCTGTTATCATACATGTAAGCTTGGTTTCTGTGAGAGCTATGATGTCCGGTGATGCCTCTATGACTTTTTTGTGCCACTCCTCCCACTTATTCATTATTCCATCAGTGTTTGTGTACCATACCTTCAGTTTCCTTTCCAACACTGTGGTTTGGGGGGCCTGTGAGGGTGGGAGACCTGGTAGCATACCGTGGGATTCTATAACTGGCTGTTGGGTGGAAACGGTGAGTATGGATTGTAGTTTGTGTTGGGATGGTGTGATAGGTTGTATGGTTCTGAGGATAGTTCTGTGTGTGCTTGCCCTTGCTGCTCTGTCCTGCTCTGATTGACCTCTGCTGGTTCCATCCTTGTCTCCTTTCCTAGATCCTTTCACTTTTTTGTCCTCTCCCTCAGCTGCTGTCGCTCTGTTTCTGTTCTGTCCGGAGAATCAGCTTGATTGGTCATTTTCTCCCCTTCAAGTATACCCCTATTCTCTGAAAATTTACAATCTTGCCCATGTCTTCTTCACCTATTTCCGTAATGATGTTCTCAATCTCCTTTCTTTCTGTCTGTCGTCTTTCAGTGTGTTCCTTTCCTCTCTCTCCTGAAGCCCATGGATAAACACTGATTTTGCCCTTTCCTCCTCCCATTGCCTCTCCCTCTGTAACTCTGGTTCCTGTCTGTACATCGCCATTTTCTCCCTTGTTTTTTCTAGTGGCTCTTGGTAGCATGGCTGTGCCTTCGCATTTGACCTATCACCCTCTCCATCTGCACCCAGCTGCTTTTTCCTTTCACTCCTTGGCCCTTCTTGTCAGGCTGATATGACCTTAGCATAATTCATATCTCCTTCCTTCCTGTTCGGCCTCTCAGCCTCATATGCTGTGTCTTCTCTGGTCAATGCCCTTGTAACTTGCTTCAGCCTGTTTACCTCATCTTCTAGGACCCTTATCCTGGTTACTGCAGTTTCAACTTGTGCCTCCCAATTCTTCTTCTCCTTCTCCAACCTCTTTTTCTAATTTCACATAAAGCTCTGTCTCCATTTTTTCAGAAAGCTCTCCTTATTTTCTCTCATACTCTTGTTCCATCCTTTTCCACTGCCCCTCCATCCACTCCTCCCTACCAGAACCATTCTCATCTGATCCCTGGTTCCTTCAAGTCCCCACCATTTTTTTTTCTTCTTCTTCTTTCCCTTTTCATCTCTTTCTTTTTTTCTTTTTTCTTTTTGTTTTGAAAGAGAAAAGAGTGAGAGAGAGGGAGAAAGAGAGAGAAGGGAAAGAAAGAAGGAAAGAGAGAGGGGAGAGTGAGAAGGGAAAAGGGGAGAGCGAGAGAGAGTGTGTGTACTTACATATATGTAGTTGCAGGGGTCGATTCATATCTCCTGGCCCCACCTCTTCGATACAAGGTCACTCTTTCCCCACTCCTAGAGTCTTATCATACCACTTCTTCAAACTATGTATGGAATCTGCCTCCACTACTTCACCAGACTATTCTACTTCCTGACAACTCTATGGCTGAAGAAATACTAACATCCTTGTGACTCATCTGAGTTTCAGCTTCCAATTGTGTCCCCTTGTTGGTGTGACCCATCTCTGGGACATCATGTCTCTGGCTACGTTATCAATTCCTCTCAGTAATTTAAGTAGTTATCATAACCCTCCTATCCTTTCTGTCTTCCAGTGTCGTCAGGTGGATTTTCCTTAATCTTTCTCGTTGGACAATACCCCTTAGCTCCGGGAGTAGTCTAGTTTCAAACCTTTGCACTATATCTAATTTCATGACGTGCTTGACCAGGTGTGGGTTCAATACTGGTGCTGCATACTCCAACATGGGCCTGACGTGCACGATGCCGAAACGCTATTCTTATTTTTGTCAGGAGCCCATATGCTGCAGCACTTGTTTGGTTGATGTGCGCCTCAGGAGCTGAAACCTAGGATAACCTCCAAAAAAATCGAAAAAAAAAACAATAAAAAAAATTTTGGTAAAATTCGAAAATTTTTAGAGGTGACTCTAAAATGTGTGACCCAGGAGCTGGAGTCCCCAGTACATGGAAAACTTGACCTTGGAGTTGGAGCTCGATCTTAGAGTAACCCACCAGCAGGAGCTGGAGTCTCGAAAATTTGAAAAATCAAGGTATAATATGATCCGAGGAAATGAAAAGTAACTCAGAGGTTCGAGAACTTCAGGGAAAAAGGGTGGGGATTTAGGAGGGATGTTGAAACTTGATCCAGGGAGCTGGAGCAGGGATGGAAGTGAGGGGAAATTTTGATTACTCGATGGTAAAACTTTATCCAAGGAGATGGACAACCCAAAAAATGGAAAAATCTAGGAAAGCTGGCAACACTTCCAGAAATATTGGTAAATTTGGCAATACTGGAGAAACAATCTAATCTGGAAACCCCCCTATGGCCCCTAAGGGGTAGGGGACGGGGTCAGGGGGCGGGGTCAGGGGGCCGTGTCAGGGGGCGGGGAAAGAAAAAAAGTGGGGTCCAAAAATGGGAGCGACGCCCCCATTCAAAAAAAATGGGGCTGGAACCCACACTCTAAATTTTGAAGGGGGGCAGAGCCCTCCGCTCAAAAAGTTCTCCGCTCTGACGCAAAACCCCCTACTGTGTGTGTTTGTCTGTGTCTGCAGAGGTCAAACCACATCTCCTGACCCCTCTCCTCTAGGTGTAGGCCTATATTTACTTATAAAACTGCGTAATCGTTGTAAAAGCATGTATCGTATACTTGCAGGCTCCTCAGGACAGCAGGATGTTGTAGGCTCCAGGGATATGGAGGCTCCGCGACTCAATGTTCCACATCTACAGGATCTTATAGGCAAAGAAGCTCTACAGCACCGTCCCCACCGCTCGTCTGACACAGGTACTGCTGCCTTCTGCTACCCTCTGCTACCATGTGCTATCACTGACCCTCAGTACTCAGGGGACTGCTGCCCCTTTTGCTGCCCTCTGCTGCTTTTACTACACTGACCCTCAGTATCAGGGACTGCTGCCTTTTCCTGCCCGCTGCCAGTACTATCCTGACCCTCAGACTCAAACTGCTGCCTTCTGCTGCCCCCTCCTTTTCTACATCGCGTCAGGTGTTTTCTTTGTAGATGAATGGTTCAGAGAACTGACACGTTGTTAAATTAGACACATGCGCAACTCTTGGGTATCTTTATTGAGGAAACGTTTCGCCACACAGTGGCTTCATCAGTCCATACAAAGGATAAACTTGAAGAACAGGAGGAGAATGAGGTAATCAGTCCCTCAGCATTGAGTCAATGTGGTCAGTCCATCAATCTTGAATAGAATACGGCATATGAGCGGAGAAGCAGCTTATAAACCGTATGGCAGGAGAGGTGCAGCAGTCATAGGTGGTGTCACATTTGTTCAATGTGGAGGTAGGTCGTGCCCAAGAATTAGGCAAGCGAAGAATTCCTAAGTATTAAGATCCCTTGGGCACGACCTACTTCCACATTGAACAAATGTGACACGACCTATGACTGCTGCACCTCTCCTGCCATACGGTTTATAAACTGCTTCTCCGCTCATATGCCGTATTCTATTCAAGATTGATGGACTGACCACATCGACTCAAGGCTGAGGGACTGATTACCTCATTCTCCTCCTGTTCTTCAAGTTTATCCTTTGTATGGACTGATGAAGCCACTGTGTGGCGAAACGTTTCGTCAATAAAGATACCCAAGAGTTGCACATGTGTCTAATTTAGTCTAATTTAACAACGTGTTTCTTTGTTGTGGGAGTTGACTGTGAAGTGTGGTCTAAGCCCTTTAATTGCCTTCCGTTGATGTATTACTTTCATAGTTCCTTGACAATGTGAGTAGTCACGAAACGCTTGGAATTTCACTACTCTTTCACAGTGGTTGTTTTGCATATATATATATATATATATATATATATATTATATAATATATATATATATATATATATATATATATATATATATATGCAATATATATATATATATATATATATATATATATATATATAATATATATATATATATATATATATATATATATATATATATATATATATATATATATGCAATAAGATCACAGTAAACAGGTGATTTCAAAATATACAAAACAACCACTCTGAAAGAATAGAGAAATTCCAAGCGCTTTCGTGACTACGTGAGTAGTCACGAAAGCGCTTGGAATTTCTCTATTCTTTCAGAGTGGTTGTTTTGCAAATATATATATATATATATATATATATATATATATATATATATATATATATATATATATATATATATATATATATATAATATATATATATATATATATATATATCATTCTGAAAGATGGACTTCCACTAGTCCATCTTTCTCCCAGTCCTTGTTGTCTTTCCCCCAAGTACTTCCTCTTGTTTATAAACTGTCTCGTTTTTCTCTTATTCGTTTATCTTATTTTCCTTCTGTCACCCCGCTATAAACATACACATGCTGAAGTCTACCCATCAGCCTTTTATCCACCATTACATTATCCAGCAAACTATTGACATAACGCAGAATATCATAGCTCGCATACTTATTTATCTTGATTTACTTGAAATATATATAAATTACCTATTACCAAACTTTTTTCTATTCAAAATTCAATCAAAGGCCGCCAATTATCATTTACCGCTGAGACTTAAACAGTACTTCTGCGCTCTCTACACCAGTTTCTCCCGCACTTCAGTTACTCTCACTTGGTTTAAAACTTCTGCGCTCTCTACATCAGTTTCTCCCGCACTTCAGTTACTCTCACTTGGTTTAAAACTTCTGCGCTCTCTACACCAGTTTTTCCCACACCTCAGTTATTCTCACTTGGTTTAAAACTTCTGCGCTCTCTACACCAGTTTTTCCCACACCTCAGTTATTCTCACTTGGTTTAAAACTTCTGCGCTCTCTACACCAGTTTCTCCCACACCTCAGTTATTCTCACTTGGTTTAAAACTTCTGCGCTCTCTACATCAGTTTCTCCCACACCTCAGTTATTCTCACTTGGTTTAAAACTTCTGCGCTCTCTACATCAGTTTCTCCCACACCTCAGTTATTCTCACTTGGTTTAAAACTTCTGCGCTCTCTACATCAGTTTCTCCCACACTCAGTTATTCTCACTTGGTTTAAAACTTCTGCGCTCTCTACATCAGTTTCTCCACACCTCAGTTATTCTCACTTGGTTTAAAACTTCTGCGCTCTCTACATCAGTTTCTCCCACACCTCAGTTATTCTCACTTGGTTTAAAACTTCTGCGCTCTCTACACCAGTTTCTCCCACACCTCAGTTATTCTCACTTGGTTTAAAACTTCTGCGCTCTCTACACCAGTTTTTCCCACACCTCAGTTATTCTCACTTGGTTTAAAACTTCTGCGCTCTCTACATCAGTTTCTCCCACACCTCAGTTATTCTCACTTGGTTTAAAACTTCTGCGCTCTCTACATCAGTTTCTCCCACACCTCAGTTATTCTCACTTGGTTTAAAACTTCCAAACACTCACTTAACATCTCATATGTTCTTTCTTTCTCCTTTATACTCCTTTCTTCTCCAGATACAAAAGTACGTTGTTTAACCCACTTGTGTGTGTGTGTGTGTGTGTGTGTGTGTGTGTGTGTGTGTGTGTGTGTGTGTGTGTGTGTGTGTGTGTGTGTGTGTGTGTGTGTGTGTATGTGTGTGTATGTGTGTGTGTGTGTGTACTCACCTATTTGTACTCACCTATTTGAGGTTGCAGGGGTCGAGTCCAAGCTCCTGGCCCCGCCTCTTCACTGGTCGCTACTAGGTCACTCCCTGAACCATGAGCTTTATCATACCTCTGCTTAAAGCTATGTATGGATCCTGCCTCCACTACATCGCTTCCCAAACTATTCCACTTCCTGACTACTCTGTGGTTGAAGAAATACTTCCTAACATCCCTGTGATTCATCTGTGTCTTCAACTTCCAACTGTGTCCCCTTGTTACTGTGTCCAATCTCTGGAACATCCTGTCTTTGTCCACCTTGTCAATTCCTCTCAGTATTTTGTATGTCGTTATCATGTCATCCCTATCTCTCCTGTCCTCCAGTGTCGTCAGGTTGATTTCCCTTAACCTCTCCTCGTAGGACATACCTCTTAGCTCTGGGACTAGTCTTGTTGCAAACCTTGCACTTTCTCTAGTTTCTTTACGTGCTTGGCTAGGTGTGGGTTCCAAACTGGTGCCGCATACTCCAATATGGGCCTAACGTACACAGTGTACAGGGTCCTGAACGATTCCTTATTAAGATGTCGGAATGCTGTTCTGAGGTTTGCTAGGCGCCCATAGGCTGCAGCAGTTATTTGGTTGATGTGCGCTTCTGGAGATGTGCCTGGTGTTATACTCACCCCAAGATCTTTTTCCTTGAGCGAGGTTTGTAGTCTCTGGCCCCCCTAGACTGTACTCCGTCTGTGGTCTTCTTTGCCCTTCCCCAATCTTCATGACTTTGCACTTGGTGGGGTTGAACTCCAGGAGCCAATGCTGGACCAGGTCTGCAGCCTGTCCAGATCCCTTTGTAGTTCTGCCTGGTCTTCGATGGAATGAATTCTTCTCATCAACTTCACGTCATCTGCAAATAGGGACACTTCAGAGTCTATTCCTTCCATTATGTCTTTCACAAATACCAGAAACAGCACTGGTCCTAGGACTGACCCCTGCGGGACCCCGCTGGTCACAGGTGCCCACTCTGACACCTCGCCACGTACCATGACTCGCTGCTGTCTTCCTGACAAGTATTCCATGATCCATTGTAGTGCCTTCCCTGTTATCCCTGCTTGGTCCTCCAGTTTTTGCACTAATCTCTTGTGTGGAACTGTGTCAAATGCCTTCTTACAGTCCAAGAAAATGCAATCCACCCACCCCTCTTTCTCTTGTCTTACTGCTGTCACCATGTCATAGAGCTCCAGTAGGTTTGTGACACAGGATTTCCCGTCATTGAAACCATGTTGGCTGCTATTGATGAGATCATTCCTTTCTAGGTGTTCCACCACTCTTCTCCTGATAATCTTCTCCATGACTTTGCATACTATACATGTCAGTGACACTGGTCTATAGTTTAGTGCTTCATGTCAGTCTCCTTTTTTAAAGATTGGGACTACATTTGCTGTCTTCCATGCCTCAGGCAATCTCCCTGTTTCGATAGATGTACTGAATATTGTTGTTAGGGGTACACATAGCGCCTCTGCTCCCTCTCTCAGGACCCATGGAGAGATGTTATCCAGCCCCATTGCCTTTGAGGTATCTAGCTCACTCAGACGCCTCTTCACTTCTTCCTCGGTTGTGTGTACTGTGTCCAGCACTTGGTGGTGTACCCCACCTCTCTGTCTTTCTGGAGCTCTTTCTGTCTCCTCTGTGAACATTTCTTTGAATCTCTTGTTGAGTTCCTCACATATTTCACAGTCATTTTTTGTTGTCTCTCCTCCTTCCTTCCTTAGCCTGATTACCTGGTCCTTTACTGTCGTTTTCCTCCTGATGTGGCTGTATAACAGCTTCGGGTCAGATTTGGCTTTTGCTGCTATGTCGTTTTCATATTGTCGTTGGGCCTCCCTTCTTATCTGTGCATATTCATTTCTGGCTCTACGACTGCTCTCCTTATTCTCCTGGGTCCTTTGCCTTCTATATTTCTTCCATTCCCTAGCACACTTGGTGTTTGCCTCCCTGCACCTTTGGGTGAACCATGGGCTCATCCTGTGTGTGTGTGTGCGTCTGTGTGTGTGTGTGTGTGTACTCACCTATTTGTACTCACCTATTTGTGGTTGCAGGGGTCGAGTCTTAGCTCCTGGCCCCGCCTCTTCACCGGTTGCTACTGGGCCCTCTCTCTCCCCGCTCCATGAGCTTTATCAAACCTCGTCTTAAAACTGTG